CTGAATTGATGGCAGAGACCATAACACCTGTCCCTTCATGTATACATAAGTCATTATCATAACTGTTCATCTAGATAATTTACTAACATTATCTCCAATTTTTAATTTAGTATTCTCTGAGCTCATGAGAAATGGCATATTTAACCCCTCAGCTGGTGAAGAAATTGAGACTTAAAGCAGTTTACACGCTGTCTCTAAGCCTAACTTGATGTTATTAGTTGGTAAGACCTGTCCCGTTTGCCTTCCAGATTTCTCTCTGAGTTCAGCCCCTCCCCCTGGAAATTGCCTAGCTAATATTTAAAATCAGATTGGCCTGGTTTCAGAGTGTCTGATTTTATCACACTGTGTTTAGTTAGTTAAATTCTTGGAGACCCTCAAGGGCAGAATTGAAACTTCTTTGTCTCAGTGTCCCACACCTGGAAAATCATCCTCCAGTCCCAGCTGGAAAATAGATTTAGCTTTAGACTTAGGAAAGAAACATTTACATATGTAACAAAGGGATGTTGCATCCATTTGCTTTCAGTTGTAGCAAGTAGAGTGCTCACAAACAGAATTCCCTTACTGCTAGAATTTAGACGCCAGTAATCCAGCATCATCACTGATGAGGGACAGTGTTTAGAGTATGTCTGCCTAAATCTCAGTTTCCTAAAAATGTAATTACAACAGAGCACAGATATTTTATACATGGTTCAGTGAGACGAGTATATGGAGACATTGGTAGGATGATTTCTTAAATGAATGCCATCAGCATTTGTCTGTGTAATGCACTCTTATGAACTCTGCCTAAAATAGTTCTGTGGTGTATGTGTGTGTGTGTGTGTGTGTGTGTGTGTGTGTGTGTGATATTTGTATGTTACTACACATGTACATCAGCTGTCATCTATCTTCTCTCTCTCTCTCTGGCTTATTTTGCCGCTAGACAGAGACTTTCACTGAATTTGAAGCTTGCTTTTTTTGACCTTCTAGGCCCCATCTGTCCCTGTCTCTGTCCCCAATGATATGATTACAAGAATGCATACCCAAGTCAGTTTTTTATGTCAGCGCTGGGGATTCAACCTCAGAACTTCAAAACCTCTGAGTAAATGTTCTTACCCATTCTTAGCCATCTTCTCAGTCCTGAGAAGATAGATCTTGATTATAATAAAGAAGGGGGAAGTTAGGAGTGATATCCCACACACCTCTGTGTGTTCACAACTTCATTATTTGATGATAGAGAGACTACATGGGAAGTCCTATCCATGCCACTCAGTCAGCTCCCTGGTATTTTCTGTTCCAACATATGAATCAGTATGGCTGTACAGTTGCCAGGGCTCCTGGCCCACCAGCTTCATTCACACTTCAAGAATTCTTCTTTTTTCCAGTGAAACATCTTAACAAATATTGGTATAACATTTTTGCTGCCACAACCGATCACATAAACACACAGACAGACAGACAGACAGACACACACACACACCTATCTTACAAATCTTTTGACTTCCCACTATTGACAGCCTTATGATGGCTGGGAAAGGTAACAGATGCTAACAGACTTCATAGTCCAGGGAAAGCAAGCTGAAACCAGTGAGGTTGTGGAGAAGAAAATGAGTTACGTGCAGCCTGACAGGAAGTATTCCAGGGACCACCATCATCTGTGAGAGCTTCAGGGAAACCACATGGTTTTAGGGGGATATTATGATATTATACTAAATTCTGACATTATGACCACTTATCTCTGAGTTAAATCTCTAACTATATTTATATTATTATAACTCATAGAAGAGTTAGTCATTAATTCTATCTTTGTGAGGAGGCATGTGTGTGTGTGTGTGTGTGTGTGTGTGTGTGTGTGTGTGTACGTGTGTAGGCCAGAGGTTGAAGTGAGTGTCTTCCTCTATTGCCATTCATCTTAATCTTTTTATGATAGGATCTCCCACTAAACCTGGAACACTGCTTGTTAGAACCTCCTAGGGTTGGGAATACAGATGCTTGGCACCAACACTGTACTACTAATGTGGGTGTTATGGACTAAAACCCAAGTCCTTCTTGTGTAGCAAACACTGCTGACTGAGCCATCTTTCCAGTCACCTACTTTTACCTATTAATCAAAGTTCACTAAGCTTTTTTTCAGTCCAATTTTCCTAATGACCTCCCTAAAATTTGTATTATCCCTAAGATACTATTATATTATTGATATTATCTCCATTAGTATTAAAATATAACTCCTCCACACACTACTATAAGTGGTGTCAGGTACATACTAGCTCTTATTTACTCAACTTGTACAGCCGTCCCACCAGGCAGGACCTCTTTGGATCATTTCACTGACAAGGAAACTGAATTTAAGGTATCAAATAACTCACCTAAATGTTATACTTGGTGAACAGTGGTAGAGTTAGAGTCAAAGTTCTAGGTTTAGATCACTGCCCTCAACACACTAGGCAGCTTCATTTTTGTCAACTGTTGCACCCAATTTTCCCCCAGATCGAGTCTTTTTCATTTTGGGTGGGGAGTGGTGGTGCATGGATGTGTGGTTAGAGACAGGGGCTCACCACTATGCGCCTGTGGTTTTCCTGGAGCCCTCTATGTAAGCCAGGCTGACCTTAAACTCATAGACATCTGCCTGCCTCTGCCTCCTGAGTGCTGTAATTAAAGATTTGTGCTACCACACCTGGCTGGGTTGAACCTTTTCTGTTGCTATGTAAAGCTATAGCAGTGTGTTGGTCTAGAGAAGACCTGGGCTTAGGGTTTAGGAAAAGGTAAACACAGAGGCATTCAGGACAGGGCTTTGTATGGAGCAAGTACTCAATCCATGGTTACTATTCATTTTTATTTGTCTTTGTCAGTGAAATGTCAGCTCCTCACTGAGAAAGTCAAAATCAACACTACAGAAAAAGCTGACCATAAAAGCTCTACCTATATACTTCCAGGTGTATTGACTCCATCATAATTAAACTTCTGCAGACAAGATGGTGCTGAGCATTAAGGAGATCCCTAAGCACCCAAGTTGTCTGAGATAATTACAATTGATGTTTCCATTTTCCTCATATGAATCAAAGCCTTGGATAAAATGACCCAATGTATAGGTATTCTAGAATTGATCTTGGCAAGGCAGATTTTAAAAAGAAGAATTAGGTATGTTTTTAAATGCTTCCACATCTTTTCCTCCTCTGCATCCTCGTAGTACCCTACTCTGTTCTCTGTAACAGATGCCAGCCTTTCACGATGACATAAATTGATCTATATCTCAATCACTCTACAGAAACATCATACCTGAGGTAAAGGCAAGATGCTGAGAATGTAAAAACACCCCTTTAAACTCTCTGAAGCCCCTGGCCACACACATGGAACACAAGGATAGCAGTGGGTTTCCATTGGAATGGATATTTCAATTCTGCCTCTATAAGTCTGAATAAAAATAAACAAGTGAAATAAGCAAAGAACTATTCCATTGTTGGAATGTGTCCTCATGACTACAGGATCTAGGCTGCCTTCATTCTTTCCTGGAAATAGACAATAGCGAGCTTCTCTTTGAAATTGTCTCCAATCCATCCTGGATACTATAGCTAGAGTGACTTTTCTTAGAGAATACTGACTATTCTTTGTCAGTCATACAACATTGCCTGGTTACTTCAAGATATGACACTTCTTGACCAAGACTTCCTAAGCTGCTGAGCACACAGCCTTCTCTCTACTACTTTGATTTTATGTTTAAAAATTGGGTTCAAAAATTGGTTTAAAATTTCATACATATACATTCTGAGTTTGGAGAATGCCTTACCCTCTCGTATGCCTTCTTCTATTCCTTTCTTCCATATATGGCACAATCATTGCACCTATTCACTGCAGCTGAGGTTACCTGCACAAGAGCTTCACAAGGGTGGATTTGTTGCCTTTTCATCATGTGAGCATAAGGGGTTCATGAGGCCTCACCCCCCCAGAGATCATGGGAGTTATAGGCACTGGAAGAGATGCTATTATTTTCTTCAATAGTGTGGCCACTGATAAGTTGTTTGAGATGCTGTACATAATGCCCTACTTGTGCTCATGCTAAATTCAGTATTTCCTATACTCAGTAACAGCTTGTTTGGATCTTTAATAAGCTATATTTTATCTTTTTCCTGCTCTTGTTCATGGCTTTGCCTCTACCTGGAGCATATCCTACCTTTCTCACTAATGTCTGCCTTCTTCCTCCTCATTCTTTGGGATAAGCTATTGCATTTTCAAGTAAGCATGTTTTAACTCCTCCAGTATGTCTTATGACCCAGATATGTCTGTAAAAAGCATTCACTCATTCCCAGTCCAGCCTGACACTATTCTAGATTTCTTTCCTACAGTAACCACTAGACTGTGAGTTCCTATAGGACAGAAAACTTCTGGTTTTTTTGTTTGTTTGTTTATCCTGTACCTTCCATAGAGTACCTCGTTAATGAATGTTTGTTTAATGAATAGACAAAGGTCCCTCAACATACTTCATTGTTAAGAAACATCACCCAAGCAAAAAGAGAGACAATAGGAATTTTAATGCACAGAAAGTCCTGTAGAGACCCACAGGTAGCAGAAAGAAGCAGTGGGCCTGCAAACTCAGTAATGTCCAGGGAGAGAAAGGGAAAGAGAGAGGAAGAGAGAGAGAAAGAGAGAGAGAGAGGAAAAAATAAGGAAGGAGAGGTGGAATAAAGAGGAGGAGGAGGAGGAAGAGAGGGAGAGAGAGACAGAGAGAGAGAGAGAGAGAGAGAGAGAGAGAGAGAGAGAGAGAGAGAAGGCCTTTAAGACCCAAGCTTCCTGGCTGCAACAGTTCCAGGGCACCCTTGCTAATGCAGAAGTAGTCAAATTGTCTCTCCACAGGGCTCCTTCCAGGGGTCCATGGCAAAAGGGAGGAAGAAGAGGAAAGGCTGCTTGTTCTCCACCTGAAAGGTCTTGCCTCCACAATGACTTCCATCCATAAGAAATGGTTTAAAAAGGAAAGATATTTGATAGAGTCAAATAATATCTTAGAAAAAATAAAAGAGAAAAATGAATAATTCCATTGGTTACAAAGTTCTCTGTTGTCTGTTCATGGAGAAACAGTTTGCTTTGGCCTTGCTGGCAAGTGTCATGTGCCAGGCCATTCAGCTGTTCCCCAGCCCACCCAGGTCCCAGGATCCATGAAAGTAGTGCTCCCCCAAGAGCGTCTCTGTGCTCAAGGAGGGTAGTACCCTCCCTCACCGGCCTTTGGTCTCTCCATACGTGTTTCGGGCCATGGACACCATCTTCTCCTCACATGTGATTTTGGTATCTTTGAGGATGCTGTACCACACCATTCCTGCAGGCCGGACCTCTTCACTGCGGCAGAAGAGATACGGTATGGTGTCCACACGGCTCTGGATGTAGGCGCTTCGCAAGAGACTAGAACAATGGCTGCTGACCCTCTCCAACCGTCGCAGGATCAGGTGTGCCTTCCTAAAGGGCACAAGGAGACAGAAACAGTCAGGGGATGTTAGAAGAGGTCTTAAGGTCAACATATGTCGGAGGATGTCATACTTAAGCTATATTTGATTACCCACTTCTACATTAGTGTGCTACTTTAAATAACTACTCAAGAGTTAACTGGGACTGTGTTGGGTGTTCTCCTTAAAATTTCAAGACACTGGCTGAAGATGGAAGCTTCCCTCCTTCCCCAGAAGGATGACCTTAGGATCTGTCTTTTTCAATTGCATTGCTTGCATTGTGATTTGTAGCATAATACTAGCCATTGGGCTCTGAACAACACACATTGTCATAGTAATGACAAAAGTATTCACAAAAACTAGTAACTGGAATTTGACACCATGTGCTATGTATTCATTGGATATCTACCTCATATGTGTTTAAAAACTTTTATATTTTATCAAATAATCACATTATTCCTGAATTTTTTCTCCCAGTTAAGAGTTGAGGAACTCATACTCAGAAAAATAAAATAATTTGACCAAAGTCAAATATTAAGTTGATCTCTTGAATCCAGCCCTTTTCCAACTGTCTGTCTGCCTTTTGCTTCAGTCACTCCCATTCACTTGTTCCTTATCATCCTGTTTGGTGATCATGTCCCCTATGCTTTTCCTTTCATCAAAGCATAAACGATGTCCATGAATCAAAACTTCTCTCCAGTCCTCTATCCTCCCTCTCAACTAGTGCTGGCTCTGCACACCTGCAGAGAGCATTGATGAGACAGGTCCAGCCTCTGGCAAACAGTATGCTTCTAATACATCATTATTATGTGTCAGGACCAAGGTAAAACTGAATATTGATCTAAATAAGAGTTATGGTGAGTGGTGGTCACCATTTGGAACTTATCTGGGATCTTCTTCTAGCAGTAGAGAGTGCTGGATGCATAGTCTGAGCAAGGGGACATGTTTGAGATGCTCTAGTACAAGGTTTCTTAGCAGCATTACTATTAATTCTATCTAACAGTCCTGTCAGATGTTGGTCACCATTCTTGGGCTTCAACCCGTGAGGTGAAAATAGCACCACACATCTGTCAGGATGATAAAATCGGTTCCTGATATTTCCTAATATTCTTTCAAGGGACCTCCTAAGGACCACCGAATTATCTATCCTATCCTGTTCTCACCAAAGACATAGAAACAGAAGCTTAGAGAAAAAAGGAAGGTCTGTTTCCCAGATCATAATATACATGAATACTCTGCATCTTTAGATACCTAGGGGTTCTGGGAGCTGAGGAAAGTCTGTCTCTGTGTCTCTTTGTCTCTGCATCTCTGCCTCTGTCTATGTCTCTCCTTCCTTTCCATGACCCCTTGAGACCCTGGGAGAGAAGGCATTTTATAACACAGACCACACAAATTGGAGACTATGCTAGGCACCTGTGTGGTGGCTGAAAGAGAACTGGACTTGTGTATTACATTTCGTGGGCATGATTTATGAGGTGCTTTTCAAAGAGTCCTCTTTGTGTAGTTCACCACTTGGGTGGAATATTTTGTGAGGAGCCAAGAAGTCACCATTTTATGGTCCACAGGCCTCCCTCCTCACAGGCCTGCTTCTCAACCCTATGAGGAGTCTAAGGAGTATATTTCTCATCCTTCCTTGTTCTATTCTTATTTATTTATTTATTTATTTGTTTGTTTGTTTTTCAAGACAGGGTTTCTCTGTGGCTTTTGGAGGCTGTCCTGGAACTAGCTCTTGTAGACCAGGCTGGTCTCAAACTCACAAAGATCCACCTGCCTCTGCCTCTGGAGTGCTGGGATTAGAGGCTTGCGCCACTATCGCCCGGTTCTATTCTTATTTTGTTATTGTTTACCTTTTAGATTTATGTACTTCTTTATATGCATGAGTTCTTTGTCTGCATGTATGTACAGTACCCCGAATGCTTGGTTCTTGAAGATGTCAGGAGAGCTCACTGAATCCCCAGGACCTGGTGTTAGAGATGATTGTAAGTCATGTGTGCTCTGGAAATGGAACCCAGATCCTCTGAAAGAGCAACACGTGCTTTTAATTCGTGAGCCATCTCTCTTGTCCACCTGCTCTTATCTTTCCAAAAATTATTTGTATATATGTGTATGTGTTTATACAATATTTCTCCCTGTACATGTCTATGAGTGACATAAGCACATGCCATGGTGTATACATGGAGGTCAGAGGGCAATCTTGGAAATTGGTCCTCACTTTCTATTTTGTTGCAGCCACAGTCTCTCTTATTGTTTCCCTGCTATGCCGCATATACTAGTCTAGCTTGCCAGAGAGCTTCTGGAAGACTCGCCAGTCTCCTCCCATCTTGCCAGTGGAGTTCTCAGACTACAAGACTCACCTTTGTCTTTGGTTTTTATATGAGTTGCAGGTGTCTGAACTCAGAATACCAGGCTTGTGTGGCATTTATCTCCACTGAGCCATTTGTCTCTAGTCTGCCTGTTCAGTTTTTAACTAGTTGTACATACTTGGAAATTCACCTATTGTCTCTAAACTTACTTTCTTTGAAAAGGGGGTATGGGAAGCTAAAGGAAATAAAGTAAATTCATGCTTGTTAGATGAGAATATTTTAAAGCCAAGTTTTCATTCAATAGATTCTATTAGAGAAGCAGAAGGTGGAGATGGTGACACAGGAACCAAGAGCAATGAGTCGAAAAGTAAGTCACAAGCACGTTTTGAGTACACAAAAAGGTGTCTAAGTTGCTCTATGGTTGTCTAAGAAAGCTTCCTAGTGGAAGAGGAGCTTGTGTTGACTGTTAGATGCAGAAAAGAGAGATTGGCAGGCAGCAGTTGCAAAGACAGAGATACAGGAATGCATAAAAGTCCTGGGGATTTACAGCTGGAACACAGCCCTTATTCATGGGGTTCTGCATGCATGATGGGGGTTGGTGTGGGGGGTGGAGGGTGACACTGAAACAGTAGGAAGGAAAGGATTACTATCCATTTCCTAGTATTAACTCCAATGTCCTGAGTAATAGTGATTTAGATCCCAGCTCAGCCACATTTTAGCTTGCTGATAGTCACCGGGTCATTTCACCACTGTTGCCTCAGTTTCCTTGTCTTATCTATACAGTGTGAATAACTCTCTATATAACATATTGCTTTAAAAATAAAAAATGATGGAGGGCTGTGGATTCAGCTCAGTTGGCAGAATGTGTGTGTAGCATGCATGAATTCCTGGGTTCAGTTCCTGGTAATGTACACGCTCAGCATAATAACATGTGCCTGGAATCCTAGCATCCCCAAAGCAGAAGCAGGAGAATCAGGCACTCAAGGCCATCCCTTGGATACACAGTGAATTTGAACTCAGCTCAAACATACCTTGATTCTGTTTTAAAAACCAAACAAAAAGATACGTAAAATGAAAAAGGATAACACATCTATTTTAAACTCTTCACAAATACTATCTCTGGTTATGTAGCTGTTTGCCTGGTAAGCATAAAGTTTGAATCAAACTTTAAAAATATTTGTTTTATATTTACTCTTTGAGAATTTCAAACACATATATAATGTATTTTCATATCCTCCCCCAGTTCCCCATGTTAGACTAAACAGGTAAACCAACTTTTTGACATGATACAACATATATGTTTATAAAGTTCATATGCAAGAGCCACCTAATGGAATTACCAAAGAAAAAAAATCACAAAGAGTCATGAAATGTTTTTTTTTTCTTTTTTGAGTCATGAAATGTTTTACATGTACAATTTTGACCAGGCCACATTCATAGCTGTATTCAGCCTCTCTAAACTTTAAACAGAGAAAGCAATTGAATGAGATCTGGTTTATTTAAAAATGTTTTGGAAGCTTTGAAAAGCAAGTCATGGAAGTAAGATTGACTCCCAGAACCCAGGCTGGGGGCACATCTGGGCATTAGCTATTTCCCATCATTGTATTTAGGGACACTGGTTTGAATTTTTTCTAGGTGGTGAAAATCTACCTGTCCTTCAGAGGACTGTGATAGTCTTATTTAGTACATGTAAAGCCCTGAAAGCAGTTATGCAAAAGGCTTAGGAAAATCTTCCTAGAAGCATGTGGTATATGTTAGAAAATGTCTTTATCCTAACCACCAGCACAGCCATGGGCATCACTGCTAACATCGCTGCCACTGCCATCACTCTTACCACTGTCTCTGCTGCCATCACTGTTACACCATCAGGGATAACACTGTCATTCTGATGTTGTTAGGTATTGTTTGTCAGTAAGACAGTAGGGATAAGCATTATCTGGCTGAACTCCACAGGTCAATATAGCAGGAGACTGACTGAGGAGCAACAATGATGAACTGGAAAACATAAGGATATATGCTAGGAGAACATAAAAGATGAGCACCTCATAATCCACTGGAGAAGGGACTCAGGGGAGTCTTCTCAAAAAGTATAATGGAAAGCTCTGTGGTCAATGATAGACCATAGGCTTCAGATAAATAAGAGACATAAACCAGCTGTTGATTAAAATGGAGGTGAAGGGAATGTGTGGGAGGCCACAACAGAGACAGAACCATCTAGATGTTACTATGCTACATTCATGGTTTTGATTTTATTCTCTGGGCAATGCAGAGCCATTGGCTGACCCTGGCAGTCATAAACATTACCAAGAAGTAACAGTGAGTTTGAAAAGGGTATTATTTTCCCAACATGCTCAAATACTTTGTTTCCAAAATCCTGGCCATTTCCTTAGAAGGAATTGTAGAACTCCATTGTACAAAACCTCCCTCTGTACAGATGGGAAAATGGAGCTTTGGTATGAGGAAATTGTATTAAAGGAATGACTTCTGTTAATAGTGGATAAATCTAGAACCAGTATTCCTGGTGGTACAGAGCTAAGGCACAGTCATTAGTTCTAGCATCCCCAGTTCAAATCCTAGGTCTATTATTTAACAGCTTTGTGAATTATGAAACAATTCTTCAACAGGACTCTTACTTTTTGTAGCTGTCAAATAGAAATGGCAATAGTGATTGTGGCAGATGAGAAAGCATAGGTATTTTGTTTGGCTCTAA